TTAACCCAACAAAAATTGAGGCACCTTCCACCTCAGTAAAATTTCTAGGGGTCCAATGGGGCATGTTGAGATATTCCTACTAAAGTGAAACAAACAAACAAACAAAAAGAAACATATTGCCATTGAGTTGGATCTGACTCACAGCAACCCCTCCTTGGGTTTCCGAGGTGGTATCACTACAGAAGTAGATTGCCCAACCTTCTTTCTGAGGAGTGTCTGGTGCATTTGAACCTCCAGCCTTCTGGTTAGCAGTCAAATGCCTTAGGCACTATGCCACCAGAGTTCCTACTAAAGTGAAGGATAAGTTATTGTACCTGGCTTCCCCACAACTAATAGAGAGGCATGATGTCTGGTGGGCCTCTTTGGATTTTGGAGGCAACATATCCCTCATTTGGGTGTGTTGCTGCAGCTTATTTATCAAGTGACTAAGAAAGTGGCCAGTTTTGAGTGGGGCCCAGAACAATAGAAGGCTCTGCAACAGGTTCAGGCTGCCATGCTGGCTACTCTGCCACTTGGGCCATATGACCTTGCTGATCCAATAGTGCTTGAAGTGTCTGTAGTAGACAGAGATGCTGTCTGGAGTCTTTGGCAGGTCCCTACTGGTGAATCGCAACATAGACCTTTGGGATTTTAGAGCAAAGCCCTACCATCTTCTGCAGATAACTACTCTCCTTTTGAGAAACAGTTTTTGGCTTGTTACTGGGCTTTAGTAGAGACTGAATGCCTAACCATGGGCCACCAAGTGACCATGAGGCCTGAGCTACCCATCATAAACTGGGTGCTGTCTGATCCACAGAGTCATAAAGTTGGACGTGCACAGCAGCACTCCATCATTAAATGGAAGTGGTATATCAGAGATCGGGCTCGAGCAGGATCTGAAGGCACAAGTAAGTTGAATGAGGAAGTAGTCCAAATGCCTATGGTCTCCACTCCAGTCACATTACCTTCTCTCTCCCAGTCTGCACCTACAGCCTCATGGGGAGTCCTTACAATCAGCTGACTGAGGAAGAGAAAACTTGTGCCTGGTTTACAGATGGTTCTGCGCAATATGCAGGCACCACACAAAAGTAGACAGCAGTGGCACTGCAGCCCCTTTCTGGGACTTCTGGGACAGTGGTGAAAGAAAATCCTCCCAATGGGCAGAACTTTTGAGCCATGCACATGGTTGTTCACTTTGCATGGAACAAGAAATGGCCAGATGTGCAACTGTATATGGATTCATGGGCTGTGGCTAATGGCTTGGCTGGATGTTCTGGGACTTGGAAGGAACATGATTAGAAAATTGGTGACAAGGATATATGGGAAAGAGGTATGTGGATAGATCTCTCTGAATGGGCCACAGGAATAAAGATATTTGTGTCTCATGTGAATGCCCACCAAAAGGTGACCTCAGGACAGGAGGACTTTTAACAATCAGGCAGATAGGATGACACGTTCACTGGAAACCAGCTATTCTTTTTCCCTAACTACCTACTCCTGTCATTGCTCAATGGGCTTATGAACCAAGTGGCCATGGTGGCAGGGATGGAGGTTATGCATTAGCTCAGCAACATGGACTCCCACTTACCAAGACTGATTTGGCTACTGCCACTGCTGAGTGACCAATCTGCCAGCAGAGACCAACACTGAGTCCGTAATACGGAACCATTCCTTGGGGTGATCAGCCAGCAACCTGGTGGCAGGTTGATTACATTGGACGACTTCCATCATGGAAAGGACAGCGTTTTGTTCTTACTGGAATAGATACTTATTCTGGATATAGATTCACCTTTCCTGCACACAATGCTTCTGCCAAAACTATCATCGGTAGACTTACAGAATGCCTCATCCACCATCATGGTATCCCACACAGCATTGCTCTGGATCAAGGGACTCATTTCACAGCAAATGAAGTGTGACAATGGGCCTATGCTCATGGAATTCACTGGTCTTATCATGTTCCCCATCATCCTGAAGCAACTGGCTTGACGGAATGATGGAATGGCCTACTGAAAACAAAATTACGGCATCAGCTACATGGCAATACCTTGAAGGGTTAGGGCAATGTTCTCCAAGAGGCTGTATATACTCTAATCCAGCATCCGATATATGGTGCTGTTTCTCCAATAGCCAGAATTCATGGGTCCAGGAAACAAAGGGTGGAAACAGGAGTGGTACCTACTCACTACTACCCCTAGTGACCCACTAAAAAAACTGCTTCCTGTCCCTCCTACCCTATCTCTGTGGGTCTGGAGATGTTAGTCCCAAAGGGAGAACACTCCCACCTGGAGACACAATATTGATTGCACTGAACTGGAAATTAAGAATGCCACCTGGCCATTTTGGCTTCCTCATGCTTCTGGATCAACAGACAAAGAAGGGCGTTACTGTACTATCTGGTGTGATAGATCCTGATTACCAAGGGGAAATTGGATTGACATTACATAATGGAGGTAAAGAAGAATATGTCTGGAATACAGGAGATTCTTTAGAATGTCTCTTAGTATACTACCATGCCCTGTGATTAAAGTCAATGGAAAAATACAGCAACCCAATTCTGATATAACTACTAATGGCCCAGACCCTTCAGGAATGAAGGTTTGGGTCACTCCACCAGGCAAAAAACCATGACCAGCTGAGGTGATTGCTGAGGGCACAGGAAACACAGAATGGGTGTTGGAAGAAGGTATTCTTGAATATCATGACCATGTGACTGTGATTGTTGTATTTCTTCATTGTATATGTGCATCAAATATTTTTGTTTCCTTCTGTTATGAACTGTGAAATGTAAATAATGTGTTTCGGTTGTATGTGTGTTAGTGTATCATGTTAGGTGCAAATATGACTTTATAATTGTCCTTATTTATTTAGAGATTATATATGGTTAAGAAGATGTGTACAACTGCCACAGTGACAAGGGGTGGACTGTGATAGTTAGAGCTGTCAACTTGGCTGGACCACAATTCTGTGTGGTTTAAGCAATTGTGATGTGGGTTATTCCAATGATGGAATTAGATGTGTGTTTTGAGCAGCCAATCCATTGAAAGGGAGTTTCCCGAGGTATGTGGTCTGCTTCTAATATATTTATGGACATCCTAGGAAAAGGGACATTCTTCTGTGGATCAGGATCCTGTCGTGCTGCCTACAAACTGTCTGTGAGCAAACAATCCAAATTTGGCCTGGAGATCTTGAATTCACCATTTGTTGGAGTCAATAGCTGGTGTATTGCCTGCCAACCTTGAGCTCGTCTGTCCCTACAGCTGTGTTGAGTTGGGAAAAACCTCGAGCTTGATGTTTGATCCAAGAACTTGGGACTTGCCAGCTTCCATAAGTGTGTGAGCTGTTTTCTTAAGATAAATTTCTCTTTCTCTATGAGCTCTGGTAGCATAGTACATAAGGTATTTGACTGCTAACCAGAAAGCCGGCGGTTCAAACCCACCAAGCCACTCCTCGGAAGGAAGGCTAGACAGTCTACTTCTGTAATGATATTGCCTTGGAAACCCAAGGAGGGGTCGCTATGAGTCAGATACGACTCGATGGCACATAACAACAACAAATATATATATATGTATATAAGCTTTACTGGTTTTGCTTCTCTAGAGAATCCAGCCTAAAACAGAGGTTAAGAGAATAGATTTCTTTCTCTACGAGTTTGAAAGACACTAGCTCATCACATCTATAAAAGGGTCTGTAATGTCATATAATTAAAGTTCTTTGAAGACCACATTATAAGCTTTAATTTTTAAAAAACTAATTCTCAAAGCTTCAATTTTGTTTGTGGTTTTCTTTTCTTCATACCACAAAATATGGTTTGGCAAGTGGTCAGTGGATGAATTATTGAATTAATACAGAAGCACCCAGTAAAAACATCCTGGAAAAGCTAAAATGGCAATGATGTATTATAGTTGTTCTTGTTATGTGCCGTCAAGTCAGACCTGACTCATAGCGACCCCTCCTTGAGTTTCCAAGATGGCATCACTACAGAAGTAGATTGCTCAACCTTCATTCTAAGGAGTGGCTGGTGGGTTTGAACTGCCAGCCTTCTGGTTAGCAGTCAAATGCCTTAGGCACTATGCTACCAGAGCTCTTGTATTATAAAGTAGTAATAGTCAAAATTTTGGTTGCATTGTGCTTTCTCAGAGAATTAATTATACAGTGAAAAAGTACGTTTATTTTGGTTCCAAACTTTTCCCATATTTCTAGAACCCGAATGTTACCTCCTGAAAGTAAATGTGACCAAATAAACAAAAAACAACTATTTTTCACATGCAACAAACTGATACTAATCTTTCTAAAATTGTGAAAAAAATCTCAAACCAGAGAAGTTGAGAGAACTGTTAAGTGAACATCCATATACATATCAGTTAGATTCTAGTACTAACATTTTACTATGCAAGCAGACTTTGGGTTATGACTTATGGACAATTCTTACTTGCTCTTTAATATTAAGTACATTTGCCCTTACTTTGGAAAGACTGAACCAATCCCCAACTTGCAACAAATACTTAGTTGCAGATATCACTTCTAAACACTTCAACATGGATATCATTAACTAGAGTTCAACGTTTGTTTAGTTTTCTTCCTTCTAAGGGAAAATTTATTTACAATGACATGCACATATCTTAAATATACCATTTTATGAGTTTCGACAAATGCTAGTCTATATAACTCAAAGCCAGGTAAAAACACAGAATACTGCCATCACCACTTTAAGTTCCCTCATGACTCCTTTTCCAAGTCAATCCCTCTGCTACTCTCCTCCTCACAGAGGCAACCATTGTTCTGAGTTTTTTCAACTATAGATTCCTGAACTTCATAAAACAGAATTCTGTCTGTTCTACAATCTCTTATAAATGGAAACAGAGTAAATAATTCTGCATAAGCCTTTTCATTCAGCAAAGCTGTTCTTGAGGCTATCGGTAGTTTGTTCCTTTTACTGTTGAATGGTATTCATTACTGATATGCTTTTAAACAGAGAACTCCTAAATACGTAAAGTACGGATTCTGATTTTGTTTCATACCTTCATATTGACATCAGCCCCATTGCCAACTAGAAGCTCTAAACACAATGCTCCATGTGTTGATGCAGCAGCAAAGTGCAAAGGAGTAAATCCTTTCTCATTCTTTTGATTTACATTAGCACCACAATCTATTAGTTCATTCACTACAACATCCTGTCCATTATAGCAGGCTACATGAAGAGGTGTATTTCCATAGGCATTTGGTTCATTCATCTATTGGAAGACAGAAATGTAAATGTTAGAGTAATCTTGCTAATTATCACTGCCATAAATTTTAGCAACCCCGTCAATGAACTCATATTATCAGCGTGAAAAAGACATAAATTATACAGATGATGCTTATAATTCTAAAGTTCTTTTAAAATAATGGATATAACAACAAGCATGTTGCCAATTCAGTAAAGTTTACATATGTAAGCAATATAATTCAAATATATAATGAGCACCTCAGGGCAAAATTAAATTATTCCAAGAGCTATTTTAGGGGAAAAAAAATGAACATAATGTATTTTTAAAAGCCAAAGTGAACACACACTGAAAATTTGATTATATATTCAATGGCATGCATTTTTTACCTTGTAGTGACAAAAGACTGAGGTCAGTGATGAAACAGAGATCAAGCTTTCAAGGAACAAGTGGCATCATACTCTACTTATTTAACTCATTTTTGCTACAGACTTGGGATCTAGATATTTTCCAGCCTCAGATGGTGACATTTTACCAAAAGAGAAAAGAATGTGCTCAAGAGTAAGAATTTAAGCAACTTTAGCCCCCCCTTTTTTTTCCCTTTCTTTCTGTTTCTAATGAATAACATGGAGAATACTTTAAAGTTTAGAAGACTTCTGTGTAGTAAACAATTTGGCCTTGCCTCAAGAGAGGTCTGGCCTTTGCCCTCAGCTTCTGGGAAGTGATCTATGTCATGACAGGAGTGTCCTTGTTTAGCATGGGAGCTGGTAACACCAGAAAGACCACCATGTGATTTAGGGTGGAGATACTGAGTCATTATCAGTGGACCTGGAGACAGAAATCAATCAGGTGGGTAATCAATCAATAAATCATGCCTACATAAGGGAGTCCTAATAACTCAGAAGACTGAAGCTCAAGTGAGCTTCCCTGGCAATACTTCATGTGCACTGTCACACATCAATGTGAGCAGAATAAGGTGTCTTCACTTCACTGGAAGAGGGCAAGGGAAGCTTTGCATTTGGAACCCTCCTGGTCCCTGCCCTATGGATCTTAACTGATCCAAATATGTAACCACCTGTAAAAAACTGTAACCTCAAACATACCAGCTTTCAGTGAGTTCTGAGTATCTTCCTAGAAAATTATCAATATTGAGGGTGGTTTTGGAAACTACCTGAACTTGTAGCTGGTGTTAGAAGTGAGGGTGGTTTTGTGTGGAGTGTGCGCTATAACTTGTTTTTGGCCCCAATTTATCACAGTTTTAGTTAATATTTTCTTTTCCAAGATCCCTGGTAAAAGAAAGAGGAAGTAGAAAAATAACACTTAACTCCAGTTAAACTACCTAGACTTAATTTCTGCTTATACCACACCGTATTCTTTTCATCTTTCCATTATCTATAATCCTCATTTTCTAAGAAAATGAAGTTAAAAAGAACTTAGGTCATACCAAATGTTCACCAAACTATTGGTGGCCCAGGGCAGAAGAGAGATAAAAAAAAGTATGGCAAAATTAGAATGCAAATCAGCAAGACCACTTATACTGGGTTGAATAACGTCCTCCAAAAAGTCATATCCATCTGGAACTCGTGAATGTGACCTTATTTGGAAATAAGGTCTTTGCAGTTAAATCAAGTTAAAAGGAGGTCACACTGGATTAAGGTGGGCCCAATTAATGACATCCTTGTAAGGAGAAGGAAATTTGGACACAAATACACATAGGGAGATATGCCATGAAACTCCACAAATTGGAGTGATACATATACAAGTCAAGGAACACCTAGGAGAGACATGGAACCGATTCCCACAGAACCATCAGAAGGAACCATAGTGACAACCCATTGTTTCAGACTACTAGGATCCAGAACTGCGAGAAGTTATGTTGAGTTAATCTACCCATTTTGTGATTATTTGTTGTAACAACCCCAGGAAACTAAGACACTATGCGACTGGAGATTACATGTCATTCAGTGGCTTTCTAAATCTAATTACTCATTTAGAAGAACATTCTGCCCCTTGTAGTTTACAAATATTATACTCCTGTCAATAAATTTTAAAAATTGTACTAGAATGGCCTTAAAACAGTCACTAGGGACAATGTTGCCTTATTTTGTTTACCTGGATCAGGGGTCATTTAAGGCATTATGGCACTCTGCTGAAACAGAGCTACAGAAAATGTAGAGATGAAATTTTTATCTATGTACTCTACATGATTTCACCAAACAGTGTGTTTGGATTTTTGCAACTCCTCATGATCCCCACATTTTAAATAACTACTTGTTTGCTTTAGGGAACCTGCTTTACCTAGGCTTTTAATTAAGAGCCTACTCAGCTCTCAAGTTCTGTCATGTATTCTTTGTTTAAGCTATCATTTACCTTTATTTACATGTTTCCCCTGTTATCTGAAAGTATAGTGTTCCTAAGAAACCTTTTGTAAGCTGAAATGGCATAAAGTAAAAAAACAATTACCACTAATTTATATAGGAAAAATCTTTGAGCGTTCCCAGACTCAAAAAGTAACCTACCAATTAACATTTAAAATCTAAAATAACACTAATACATAGTGTTCACTGGCACAATTCAAAGCTATGGCGGCTTGATGCTTAGGTTCCCAGCAAAGGAGCTTGGCGATGCCCCTCTCACTGCTTGGGGGGATCTTGCCTCTTTAAGGGCTCAAACATTGAGAGTTTCACTTCTTGCCTTTTTTCATGAAAGCGAAAATCCTCTTCTGACTTCTTTCAGTTAGTAAAAAGAGATATGAATGTAGGTTTTTCGTGAAAGTGGGGTGGCCTAAAGTGAACTTCAAAAAGCAGGGGATATCTGTATTTGTTCTTTTTTCTCTTCTTTTGTTGACAGCTGATTTAAATAGCCTCCCTCCAGCAGAACCTAACTCTCTCATCCTAATATGCTGCTTTCAATCTGTTTTGAAGAACCAGCTCAGTTTGTCAGAACTGTAATCTACTTGAGAATAAATATACTAAGAGTAAAGTATATGTGCTTAAAGAACAACCTGTGAGATAGTACTCTAAGCTACTGAAACTCAGAAGTCAAATATATTCAGATAATGTTAATATCCCTTCTTACCCAAACAGATACATACAGTAAGGAATACTTTTATATGGTGTGCAAGAAGCCTCTTGTTAGTTAATGAGAAATAACATCTGCCAATAATATGCTAACAAAAATATAACAAATGCTCTGAAATTTTATACTGTTCAACGTATATACCTACATCAACTCCAAGATCTAGAAGGTATTTGACGACACTGATCATTCCACTTGAGGCTGCTGCATGAAGAGGTGTGTAAGACTTCTTATCCTTGCATGTCACTTCAGCTCCATGTGCCACAAGTAATTTCACTACTTCAATGTGACCTGAAGATTATTTATGAAGAGAAAAAGAGATGAGAATATGGAAAATATATATCATTCTGTAATCTTAAAAGGAAAGTAAAAATGCAAATCAACGACATAATACACAAGTCATCAACATATCACACTAACATCTGAGAGAGGATAAAAAAAAAGAGTAATGCTGGATAATTTTTGATAAATGTTGGCACAAGCAGCTAATAATTGAAAAAAAAACAAGTAATTATTTTAACAATGATAATCCTGCAATCTATAATCTTCCTTTTGCCTAGATCTTCTTGTTCTTTTTAAGGTTGTTCTAATATGTTCTCCAGTTTATGAAGTTAGCTGTTTATGTCTGATGTTGATAAGCGTTTTTGTTTCTCTCTCTCTAATGGTAATGACAGACTTTTTTTTTTCAGTTTTCTACTTGAAAATCTGGGAGTGATTTGGTTAGTTCCTGGAAAATGTTAGAGCTTTAGAACATGGAGCTGAAAACAGTTTTTCCCTTTATTAATTTCTACTAGGTCTCCTCTGGGAGCTCTGGTAGCATAGTGGCTAAGACACTTGCCTGCTAACCAGACGGCTGGCGGTTCAAACCCACCAGCCACTCCTCGGAAGGAAGGTTGGGCAATCCTACTTCCGTAGTGATACTGCCTCGGAAACCCAAGGAGGGGTCGCTATGAGTCGGGGCCGACTCGACGGCACATAACAACAACAACAACAACAAGGTCTCCTCTAGCAGCTTTGTTTGCTACTTACCCATTACATCAGTAAGCACAGACTAGGTTACCCTTTGCTAAAGCTAACAATCAACTTCCAAATTTCAGTGGCTTAAATAACTAACATTTTATTTCTCATTTATACTATGATAGACTGGCAAGAGGGCTCTGCTCAGTCATTCAAGGACTCAGGTTTAAGCAACTGATACCATCTTGAATATGGCTGGTTGCCATGTCAGAGGAAGAAATAAACTGTCCAATCTTTTATCAGCAATTAAAAGCTTGGCTCCGAAGTGTTGCTGCTTTCAATTCATTGGCCAGAACTAATCTCAAGGCCTCACCCAACCACAAGAAGTCCGGGAAGGAGGCTATGTATCTGAAAGGTGAAAGAACCACTATTCTCTTTTGAAACTTCTCACTTTTTACCAGACCAGATTTTCAGTAACTCCCCACCTTCCATGATCATTTCTAGCTCTTTGCCTTTATTCAGGAGATTCCTTCCATGTATGGAAGGTTATGCTTGGATGTCTCTTCCCAATCACTGCTTCTAATCCTTCAAGGCCCATGTCAGATTCCAACTTCCCTGATCAATCCAGCCACTCTCTTTCCTAGAAACTTTATATGCCAAAAGCACCAAATACCTATAAACCCCATCTAACGATTACAAACTGTCTCATAATGTTTCTTGTGATGTCTAGTTAAATAACCTGGTAACTATTTAATCAACTCTTAACTTTCATGTATTAGCTCCCCAAATATGTTATACTTCCTCAAAGGCAAAGAAAATGTATGTTCTCCTTCTTGGTGAGTACACAGTAGTGTTACAATACAAAATAGGTATCTAACACGTATTTGTTACACTGATTGCTCATGGTGCAATTTTAAACATTTCATGACCAGTGGGACATGTATGGCACATTTACATTTTTTTTGCCTCTCGTATCTTCAGATGATACTTGTTCCAAATTTATAGCACATGTTGGCATCTGGCAGGGAGATGCATAATTGTTTACAACTGAACAAATATTGTGACACAAAAATCACAGTGTTTAGAGGGTACGAGATTGGGGGTGGGGGTGCATCCTGGAGGCATAAATGTGTACACCTTTTGTCTTTTTTGGGTTTTGGTCAGCAGAGGTGAGCCTTATAAACATGTAGCTTCCTGTGTTTCATTTGGAAGTTGTGGTTTTGGTGATGATGTAATTTTCAAGGGAGTAACTCATTTTCAGGTCTCTTTAAGTGCCTTCTAAGCTTGTTTGCCAGCTGTTCTCCCACCCTCACCCCAGGTTTTTCTGTAAGCATGCTATGTTAATTTTTGTTTACAGCACCACATAACAAAAGGGGCAGATGTGACCAGCATTCCTTCAGGCTCACTCTCATTAGGCAGCTTACTGTCCCAGGAAAATCAAAAGACTAAGAAGACTCTTCTTTTGCAAAGAACAAGCCAGGAGTAAGTGAGGCCAAAAGATATACAACTCTAAAAGGCTGGAAAATAATTACTTGTCAAGGGATCTAGAAGGTGATGCAGAGAATGCAGCACTAGGAAGGAGGAAGACTGACAACAATTATGTGCAGCCATTGCAGGGTGCCTTTAAGCGTTACTTTATGATTCTAAAAGTTTCACACAACAAAATAAATTTGTTAAAAACAAAGGATTTTTCTCATGCCTCAACCCACCTATCCTACTTCCAGAATCCAGGGGGATATATGTCTCTAACATTTGTTGTTGTTGTTGTTGTTATGTGCCATCGAGTCGGCTGCGACTCATAGAGACCCCTCCTTGGGTTTCCGAGGCAGTATCACTACAGAAGTAGATTGCCCCATTTTCCTTCTGAGGAGTGGCTGGTGGGTTTGAACTGCCAGCCTTCTGGTTAGCAGTCAAGTGCCTTAGACACTATGCTACCAGAGCTCCTTGTCTCTAACATACTATTTATCAAATCCATCTAACCTAAACCTAACAAAACTTCAATATGACTCAATTATTCAGCATGCATTCTATTACTGAAAAACAATTAACAAAAATCTAACAAACATAAAACTAATTAAGTCATGAAAGGATTAAAAAATCCCTTTACAGGGAATGTGTGTGTGTGTGTGTGTGTGTGTGTATATATATATACAATTAAAAAAAACTATAAAAATGAAGCTTTCAAACAAAGCCACCACTCCCTCAACAAAATTAAGCTAGGATACTATTCAACAGGATGCACAAAGATCTGAATACCACCTAGAATCTAAGGTAGATTCTGTTATTTATAAATTTTCAAGGAGCTCTGGTAGCACAGCAGTTAAGGCATTTGGCTGCTAACCAGAAGGTTGGTAGTTCGCCCACTAGCTGCTCTGTGGGACAAATATAAGGCAGTCTACTTTCATAAAGATTTACAGCCTTATAACCCCATGGAGGTTGCTATGGGTCAGAATAACTTTGATAACAGAGGGTTTGGTTTTTTTGGTCTCTATAAAATTACAATTAAAGTGGATACTTTCAATAACAGTATCTATTTCAATATTAAAAAGAAGTTATCTTCCACGATTATGTTTTTAGAGGGGGAAAAAAAAGAGTACCTGTCCATTCATTAGGTGCCAAATTAAACGTGATAGTAGTTAACTGGTACTAAAGATCCTTCATTGCACATTCCTCTCTGATCTTAGATTTATTACAATCCGTTGAAAAGTACAATGTATAACATAAAAGAGGGTCACACATAAATACAGCTTTTAAAAGTGGGTTGTTATGTTGTTATTTGCCGTCAAGTCGGCCCTGACTCATAGCGACCCCTCCTTGGGTTTCTGAGGCAGTATCACTA